CGCCGCCCCGCCGGGCCTTAGCGCCGCCGCCCGCCCTGCGCCGCGACCGCCCGCCCGCCAGGGGGCGCCGTGCCGCCCCGACGGCCTCGCGCAGGGTTCTCGGGGTGCCCGCGCCGCTCGGGCCTCGCGCGGCGGGAGCGCGGCTCTCGTGAATTCACCGCCGGGGCGGGAAACGCCGAGCGCAGCCGTGCCGTACCGCCGGCACAGGGTGGGATGGGGGCAGCTCCGTGCTTGTTTCTGGCTCTCGGGTGTTGAAACTGCCATAAAAAGTTCCGCTAGGATTCAGCATCTTCCCCTCACTCATCTGAAATCTGTACAACTGTTTTTTTTCCCCAATAGAAATCAATTAAATTTCCTTGCAGCGGTACTGAGACCCTATTTGGGAACCACAGAATAGCCAGGGTTTGAAGGAACCTCAAGGATCGTGAATCTCCAACCCCCTGCCACATGCAGGGCCTCCAACCTCCCCATTTTAGACCAGGCTGCCCAGGGCCCCATCCAACCTGGCCTTGAACACCTCCAGGGATGGACGGGGCATCCACAACCTCTCTGTAAAGAACTTCCTCCTGACATTGAAGCTAAATCTCCCCTCCCTCAACTTAAAACCATTTCCCCTTGTCCTGCTGTTATCTACCCTTTCAAAGAGTTGATTCCCCTCCCCTCTGTAGGCTCCCTTTGGGTACTGAGAGTCTGCACTGAGCTCACCCCACAGCCTTTTCTCCGGGTTGAACAAGCCCAGCTCCCTCAGCCTGTCCTCGTAGGGGAGGTGCTCCAGCCCCTTGATCATCTCTGTGGCCTTCTCTGGACCCTCTCCAACAGCTGTCTTTCTTATATTGGGGGCTCCAGACCTGGACACAGTACTCCAGATGGGGCTTCACAAGAGCAGAGCAGAGGGGGACAATCACCTCCATATCCCTGCTGGCCACCCCTTTTCTGATGGAGCCCAGGATACCATTTGCTTTTCGAGCTGGAAAGCCCACGATCCCTATGTTTCAGTGACTCCCATAGAGAGCTGTATGCAGGAACAAGGCTCACTGAGCCACACCTGCCATCCCTTGCACAGCACTGCCATCCCGTGCTGACAGCAGAGTGGCTGAACAGCACAAAAGCTCCTCTGCAAACTGCTCCTGCTGCTCCACTCTCAGCTTCGGTTCATTTTGTTAGCAGGCACAAACCTAACATCGCATCCAGAGGGTCGGTGCTACAGGGAAGGAGTGAGAAGATTCGTTGCTGCACTGCACCTGGATAGCTTAGCTATTTTACTAGTACTTTCACTGCATTGTTTGAAGGCAAACTTTCTCTCCATAGTGTAGCAATTGGACAGATCAATAGCGTGGGAGAGGCATTACAACAAAGGTGTGATGACAGAAAGATCAGCACGACAGAAAGGTGCTATAAGGGAAGGAAAGAAGATTGCTCACCCGTATCAGAAGATTCCAGATTCACAGGAGAAAGCTTCACCAAGGAGAGATCTCCAGAAGGAGATCCTTTCCCAGTGGCAGCCAGCCCTTCAGTGAGGACTACAGCTGAACTGCCTTCACCTGTGCTCCCAAGGCTGACCGGGTTCTTTCCGAGGTGCTCAGTCAGGCCGGGACTCAGCAGTTACCACACACATAGCAAACAACTTCTGAGGTTATCTGCATCAATGCAGAATGCCGTTCTGCTGCAGAGGAGATGGGAGGATAGCATTTGTTTGGCCATAAAATTATGGGCCGGCCACTGAAAAGAGCCCATGCTTTCAGGAGATCTCCCCATTATTCCTGGTGAAATATGGCAAGGGCTGCACCTACAAGCTTTATCAGAAAGCACACATTGCTTGTATAAAGGCTGACTACAACTTCCATGTAAAAGTTAGAACAGTGCAGAAAAGCACACTGCAGCACCATCAGCCAGAGCTTCAGTCAGATTGCCTGAAGAAATCTTGCAGCATGTGAGTGTCAGCACTTCCACTTGTCTGGTTTACTGAAATGCACAACACCATCCCTTCTCACGCGTTTGTTAGCAATATAACTATTTTATAAACAGCAAAAATGTTCTGACTGAACTTAACTAGTGTGACCTGCAGATGGGCTGCAAGGAGCAGCCTCACTCCAAGCCCTGTGGCACAGCAGATGTTTGTCTAAATGGGCCACATCTGTCAGATGTGAGTGCCCAATTCTAGAACTGCACAGAAAAATTGAAAGGTTTCTTGATGCAGTTACTCTCAGGATTGTGTTTGTTTGCTGTCGATGAATGATCCTAGAGGTTTTTTTGTTGCAAGTTTACTGCATTAATAGATGGAACGTGACAAAGGCGGTCAAAACCAAGCATACATTTCTGTCTTTACTGTGAAGAAACACAAGATCAAGAGCTCGAACTTGCTGGCACCATGACTTTCACCATCCCTTCCATAACAGTCTTTCCACTTTCTCTGACTTTACACGATACTGAGACGCGTGCAACAGAGCTCCTCAGTCGTTTCACTTCCACTGCAGCTATCACTTCTTCTCCAGTATACAGAGGAGCTGGAAATCGAATCTCCTGAGAAAGAAACACACAGCCCTGACCAGGCATTTTAGTACCCAGAACTGCAGAAATAAGTCCATTGATCAAAACTCCGTGTACAACAGTTCTACCAAATTTAGTTTTCTTGGCAAAATCTTCACTTAAATGCAAAGGATTTGTGTCACCTGTTAAATGAGAAAAAGTAAGGACATCATTCTGTGTAAAAACTCTGGTAAGTTCAGCTTTGTCTCCAACTTTTATATGTAAATTCTGAAGCAATGGACATCCGAACAACAGGTTGGTAACCGCCAGCTTTGTTGAAGCTCTGTGTCGGAAATCCCCTCTAGAAATTCCACATCTGAAGAGCAGCAACATTTCAAGGACCTTCTGACAGTCCACCCAGACTGGAGACTTAGTCCAAGACCAGCTCCCTGCTGTTCCCAGCTAACGCAAGAAGGAATGGAGATGTCTTGTTTTGGGGGAAGAAAAAAAGAAAACGAGAAGCATTAAAAAAAAAAAAAAAAATCATCAAATGCACCCAGAGTTGAAAATATTTAATCCTCCCATTTATGTAGAAGATTTTAAAGTAAGTGCCATGACTAAGCAGAAATTTGTTTAGCCATGGCTTCAGAGACAAAGAATTCGTGGAAGTCATTTTATTAAGCAGCATCCTCAGGGGAAAAAGACAAAAGGTCTGGAGGTACTCGTTTATGCATCCATTTTTACATGAGATCATTACTGACTTTTAGAAAGGGAAGAAGTGGGATGAAAGGGAAGAAAGGTGCCAAACAAACATGCAGCACAGCACTGATGGTGGGGAGGCCCCCTCCTACCTGCAGTACCCGGAAGGCACACCGCCTGTTCTGGTAGAAGCCCTGCAGGGTCAGAGCACTCCACAGCTTGACGAGGCCTCTGAGTAAAAATAAGACAAAGGACATTAAGATTTTTTTTCTCTTTTCCCACAGCATAAATGTTTTTAAAATATGTTACACAGAGAGTAACGAGGCAGACTTTGACAACCTGTAATGCACCAGTGAGTTCTGGTAGCAGCTCTGTCATGAAGGGTTGTTATAAGGGCTGTACCCTTGTCCTTGACACGGGGCAGATGCTAATGGTGACCATGTTACGTTACTGGCCCTGTTCTTAAGCTCTTCCTGTGCCTTTCAGTGCCATTTCCCCCACAGCACCTGCAGCTGTCTCCAACATTTAAACCTGACCCCCATTCTCACAGGAAGAGATTTAGAACCACACCTTCCAGCAGGGCTTTGCTCCTCCAGACCCTTCTGTTCTACAGCAGGTATGGATGCACACAGGTCACAAAACCTGAGGGACTTTTTATTTCACAGAACTGTTAAGAGATGGATGTGGCATGAGAGGTCATCCGGCCTCACTTCCCCGCGATGCACAGAGATGCCCACAGCCCCACCAGGTGCTCACAGCCCATCCAGCCTCACCTCGGCTGTCTGCAGGCATCCAGCACCTCTCTGGGCAGCCTGTGCCTCCTTGCGCTCATTGCAAGAGCTGTTCGCGCCCAGCCTAGCTCTCCTCTCTCCGGCCTGACACCGCTTCCCCCGTCCCGTTACAACAGACCCAGTCTCCTTTCTCACAGCCCGCCGTTTCCCTCACGCTCCACGCACCCTGCTGTACCCAGCTATTCCTCACAGCCCCGTTCTCCGATGGAGCTTTTTCTCGCGCTCCTTACCCGCTAATCACTCTCAGGACGGCACACAGACTTTTCTCCTCGTACGCCAAGACGTCGACAGGCAAAGCGGCCCCAACCTGCACACAGAGACGCCGTGAGGCGCAGCCGGGCTCCGCGCGGCTCGGCGCGATCCGCCCGCCTTACCTCTCCGTGCAGCTCCCGCAGCGCCGCCACCACCAGCTGCTTCAGCTGCGGGGCGCTGGGCCGCGCCGCGCCGTCGGGGAGCTCCCTGCGGGGAAACAGAGCGGAGTCAGGGCTGGGGGGCGGCGAGGAGCGGGGCGCTGAGGAGCGGGGCCTTACGCACAGGCGGACCCGCAGGTAGCAGTGCTGCGCCGCGCTCACCAACACCCGCCGCTCGTAGGCGGCCGCCCGCGGCTCCGCTCGCTCCATGCGCCCGGCGGCGGCCGCCCCTTTCTACGGCGGCTCGGCGGGGCCGCGGCGGGGCGGAGCTGCAGGCGGTGCTTGGGACCGAAGTGCGGGATGAAGGCGGGCCCGACGATCTGCCGGCCTCGAGGACGGGCAGCGTAAGGAGGTCAAAGCGCCAATTAAAAGCTTAATCAGCAGCCGGATGGCTTGTTGATAAGTTTGTGACCGTAAACGGGACCACCGCGATCCCTTCGCGGAGCCGCACGCGCGGTGCTACGTTCGAACACGCGTAGCGTAGCAGTAAGGAGGCGGCGCTGGGTGCTGCGTTCGAGTCCCGGCTGTGGGGGACGCGTGGGCACAAAGCCCT